GCATGAAGCAACATTAGTATTTTTTAGGTCGGGGTGGGGGGGGGGGAGATCGGGTTTTCCGTCTTTAAATTACACACTCCCAAATAAACATACACACGTCGCAGGTAGTAATAAATATTGACGGTGAACATGTGAGATGTGAAGCATTACATTCCCTGTCCCAGTTGCTCACCGAGGGAAGCCCCTCTCGCTCCATAGCTTGGCAATTAAGCATGCCATTAATCATCATTCGTCTTGAAGGCGAAGGATTAGATTCTTACATTCGATGAGTGTCTGACGTGACTGCGGAACCGGCGCTCGACCAATGTTCTTTCTACCGCGAAGTGTGAAATAACCTGAACATGCTTAATAAGCACTAATTTCCTTAATAACGGATGCACGGTCCCTCTTTCAGTACAGAGCTATAGCAGCATGTTTAAAGACATCGGGCCTATAGAGCCATTTGCATATTAATATACACAACAAACTTACTTGGATTGTACGAAAGGGTCCATGAAAAGAATATTTCTAAGGAGCATTTAATTATTGTGCAACTTTCTACTGCGCTTAGATGTATTAAAACCATTTGACATCTCTTTTCCTGGTTTATTTTATTGCAAAGTGTACTATACCTCTAAGAACGTTTCAAACTTTTCCGGAAACTGAGGGCGCTGTTGCCGTGACGTCATTAATGTCATTTCAGGAAGACACTGCTCAGTTTATGTTTAAATTGTGAAATGCGCAAACAAGATTTGCTTATTGACTTTAATACTGCCATGACACAACAACGAATCACTACAAAAAAAAAACACTATTTTAAGACAGCAAAATATCCACAATTATGACAACTGTCAGTGCTAAAATAGCAGTTTCTGCCCGAAATGACATCATGCTTTTTTACTCAAGGATGTACTTCGCAAAAGTTTAAAAACGAAAGAAGTACTAAAATAGCCTTAACATGACAAAAAAAAACACCATTAAAAATGGGACAAAAATGTGCATTGTCGAAGATTGCATTTAAACAATTATTACATTACATGGGCCCTGTACTGGTACTTAACACCCTGTGAAATTATTCCGCCTGGCTTGCTAATATCTACAAGAAATAAGAAATCGGGAAATGTATGTGATTCCCAAACGATCAGTCACTCATTGTTGAGAATGTGCTTTGGAGCAGAGTGTTATGCCTTATGGGAGAATGCTATGTGTGCAAAATCGTGTTTCATGATCACACTATACTTCAAAATCACAACTACTCTCTATCGCTATCTGGTCTGATCTGATCGCCTTGATCATCACTCTCCCATTCCAGTTCAAACTACACACACCCAAAATCACACAACTGCCTTTCACTGTTGGCAAAACAACTCCCTGGTTACCCTTGTTTAAACACCTGACCCATGATTGTCGTTAACTCCAAATTGGGCAAAATTGCACAACCATGGCTTTTTACTACTTCTGCAAATGAAACCACAACCACCACAAAAACTGGCTAACTACTTGCTGAAGGAAGCGCGATTATGTAACGCACTGCTACCCCAAGAGCTGGCTGCTGCTAGTTGATTATATAACGGGCTAAGTTTGACAAAAGACTGGGTCTAGGATGATGCACCTTATGCTATTGGGCTAAACTTTTAGGACTGCACCATTTCAAAATAGGGGTGAATCAATGAAATCCTTACACATGATCAAAAGGTTGTGCATGGTTTTTCACTGTTTTCTCGAAAAGTGTAATATCCACTGAGCTGAAATGTCAACAGGTAAGGTTTTAAGTAATGGTTTTTTTTTTATAAAAACAAAATGCATGAGCCGCAAATGCTCCTCCATGCCTTTAAAAATCGTGATTCTTGATGAACAACTGAGACTGCACTCGTGTCAAGGCTTCATACACTTCTTCATTATGTGCAAAGAAAAATTAAAAAATGTGGAATCCAAACATTCCCCGAGACTTGAGAATTTTTGCTTTAAATTGTCACGGTCTATGGTCGATATTAGCATTCAGGGGAAACCCAGCGGAGTCCGTCTTCGGCTGTACTCGGAGACGGTTTGTTAATGACGAACGCCACGGCTCGTCGATCGCTCGATGGGGGGAAGTCCCTTCTAGTCCCACGGCCAAGACGATAACAGCGGCAGCAATAAATGAAAGGGTTCTTGGACTGCTCGCATCAAAAACAAGGATCTTTTTATAATGCGAATCGCTTGGACTGAGCTGCGTGTTTGTGAGAGAAATTCTTCTGCAAGTGCAATTGATTACATCAGGCGCGGATCCAGAAGGTCGACCCCCCCCCCCCCATATGACACTTTCCCCAAAAAAATATTTGTAAAAATGACTACTAATACAGAATGACATTCCGTAGGGGTTATTATCAGTACCTGACAGGCCTGACACCCCCCCCCCCGCAAAAAAATCCTGGATCCGCCCCTGGATATATAGACTGGTAATGACCCCCAATTGACCTATGACTGGAAAGTGTGAACCTACAGACAAAGTTAATACACAGCTGATCCATTTGTCTTGGGCTCATTCATCATGAGATTTAATCTTTCGTTTGGAAAACGAGCACTTCGAATATTTACACAATAGCCGGAAATGACACAGATGGCCCCATTATTGAACATACGCCGTGGTATATAGGCATTGCGGATGCAACATACTGAGATATATGTTTGATAATAGCCTTCCCTGTATCATGTTTCAATTGTTCTCAAAATGATCTTCCTGTCTGTTGTATGAAACTAAACGAAACAAATTTGATGCTATACTTCTAAGGGGGTCTACCCGATGTTCCCCAATACCTTTGTTCCCAAATTCCCCAAAATCCTTAGGGTTAGGGTTAGGGGTAAGGGTTAGCGGTTAGGGTTAGCATTGGGGAACATAGGTATTGGGGAACATAGGTATTGGGGAACATAGGTATTGGGGAACATAGGTCTTGGGGAACATAGGTATTCACCCCTTCTAAGTAAACCATTTTATGGAAAATTGACAAACACTCTTTACACATTTGATGCAATTTCAAGCAACACATTAAGAATACACTAACTGGACAACTAAAAGCGCTAGCATTGACTGCATTGACTGACTGCATTGTTTAGAAACATTTTTTGTTATGTCTGTAGGTTTACCAACAACCACACAATGACAAATCTTGATAAACCTTGATCCATCGAGCAGATGGATCCATCGCGCAGAGACAGTCCCACACGTTAACGACACACCAACCCCGTTCCGTTATAGACACTGTCACGTACATCCCCCGTCCGCTTATAAAGCGGATAGCACGATGAGTTGAACTACGAATGCCTGGGCATACCACTATCAAGTAAGCCGCACTGCTCAGTGCTTACGACGGTCATTAGTGAATTGCAGAAAGGCAACAATTTAACCCCAAACAACCACAACAAAAGTAGCAAGACGTTCCAAGCCTTGGTCAAGGTTACACAAATGAAGCTCCCTCAAAATCACTTAAAACACTAATCTATAATGCATAGTGTTTACACTGGTTTGCCATAAGTATCCTGTCTATGCACATGGAAGGAAGCATTTGCTTACATTATACTGGTAGGTTAACCACTAGCCAAACAATGAGTTTCATATCCACATAACCAGAATGCTCCAACTCGATATACTTCCCGTAAGATCGTGGCATATCTTACAGAAGCAGTATATTTATTTTGGCGTGATTTTCCGAGTTTATTTCGAAGTGCACAGTGAACCCTATGAAAATGCACCCAAAAAATAAGAACATTATTTTCTGACAAGCTTCTAATCCGGTATATAAGTACAGATAATAATGCTTTTACATAATTTATCAACTAATGAAATAAATGTTAACTTGGGATTTACCGAGATTTAGTCAAATGCCCCACAATGGGGAACACTCAGCCGATGTTGTGCCCAATTTCCGGACGTGACAGTTCTGGAATTTTTGACTAATTTCATTACTGTACATTGTACAAGGATTTTAAATGGAACGCCACGAAACCGTTTACCGAAGAAAACATATTAACGATCAGAAAAACGTTTTACGGGTAACCCAAAAGAGATCACGCGTAAATCTTGACGATAGCACTTCGGGTTTGATCCGCTGTTTTAGAAACCATGGGTTCTGCTTCGTGGTATCGACTAGCAACGTCGACAACCGTCAAAGCGTATTAAGTATTAAGTCTTGCGTTTATTGCCAACCCAGGGTAGGAAGAGAGAGAGACAAGTCAAGGGTGGATCCCGAACATAATTTTCTTTTTGAGGGGCCAAAAAAAATGTTGGTCTCCAAAAAGTGTGTCCAAACAAATTACGGCGTGGGGTTCGGGGCCCGCTTAAGGGTCCCGAAAATTTGTTGGATTCTTGATGCTCTGTAGTGCGATCTAAGGCAATTTCTGAACACTTTGACCATTGTTTTTTTTTAGATAAAGATGGTGGTGTACTCATTGTCATGTCTTTATTTCGAAGTCACTAAAAAATGGATTTGTTTTGGGGGGCCATGACCCCCTTTGCCCCCCCCCCGGATCCGCCCTTGAGACAAGTGGAAGAAAGCAAAAATCATGAAGATAGCTGATTGGCTCAAATATTTGAAGGAAATGTCACATTGTTAATTTCTCTCTTCCCTTGACTATAATTATGTGTAACTTCCTCTAAAAGAGTCTAACATTTTAGGTTTTTTCCCCCAAAAATATATCAGTTAAACCCCAAGCAGATCGACTTGTAAGAAAACAGAAATCTGTTCAAAAAAGATGTCAACTTTCCCCTTGGCTGTGCTCCAACTGAAGCATTGCGTAGACACACGAAGGAAGTACCAATTCTGTCTTCAAATCCTCTTGCATTTTGGTAAAAATTTCCTCTAATATTAAAACAATATTATTATTTTGGCAAGGACAAGGATATTACATCATAACCGCAATGAGGAACATCTTTTCGAAAAATCAACATTCCACATGATTAAAAAGCAAAGCTTACTTCCTGTGGAATACTGCATGGATATTACAAGCGACCACTTTCTATTTTTTCCCCTCTCTCAGTCTGGTGAAATAACAATGACGTCACCGTCACTGTTGGTCCACAAAATTATTCCTGTATGCTCAGAAGGGACAGTCTCTTGCTCATGTTTTTGTCGATGAAAAGGAGGAGGGTTGAGTCAGGAGATCAGACATTGCAAACAAAAGGAAGTGAAGAGAACCAGACGCAGCGTCTTGCAAACTCGCTGTTTCTCATTCTTGACTGTATAGTACCCATCGACTGTTTAGGCCTCATAAGACCGATTATATTCACGTGTTGTACGCACCAGCCCAGTGACATCAAAATGAAGACGTTTCTTTATCACAGTCTGTTCCTGATCTCTGCACTATTGGTGTGCGTGTTGCCATCTGCCCATCTGGCAGGTATGTCTGCGAACAAAAGCTGTTCATTACTGAATGTATGGTTTACTTCAAACAGATTGTTTTTTATTTCAGTGCACAGTGGCCAAACAATTTTGCACGTCGCAGTATAGCAGTGGTATGATGTTAGTGGTATGTTTTCACCTGCTGTTTACAGCAACACTTTGTACAGTATGTTTACATGACATTCACTGTGATGTTTCAATATGTGCTAGCCGTCGTGTTTTGTCATTTCGCATTATTTATAAATTTTTATAAATCACACAGAACACAGTACATTTGTATACGTATGTAGGCCTATAATACAGGGCCTGCGCTTGGTTTAAGCAACCAGATTGAATGTGGCACCTCTGAGAAGTTTGACACTAGTCATTCTTGGAAAAAAACGGGGTCGGTTGCGTTTTACTCTACATGTATGTAGAGCTTGAGGAATGCAAGTCATGTCGATGAAATATTCGAAAGATTATTTGACTCTGCCTTATTTTGCTCATATGTTGGGGGTACATTTAACTACAATCCTGGCCAAATCTCGGTGGGCCCCCAACCCCCGTTCAATATTGTCTCTCATTGCGCGGTTTGTGCTCCATCAGCTGGAGAGAACAACATTGACCGGGGTAGCGGGGGAGTGGGTGACCGTGTCAGGCTCAGGAAGTGTCCCAACCATTTTGGCCGGGATTGCAGCCCATCAGAGTTTGCGGTAGTCGGGTAGTTTAGACGTTTTCACGACAAGGGCGGATCCAGCACACAATTTTTTGGGGGGGGGGCCCAAAATTTTTTTTGATCCCCCCAAAAAGTTTGTCCAAAAAATTACGGCATGGGGTTCGGGGCCCGCTTAAGGGCCCCGAAATTTGTTTGGATTCTAGATGCTCTGTGGTGCGATCTGAGGCAATTTCTGACCACTTTAACCAATGTTTTTTTTGAGGAAAAGATGGTGGTGTACTCATTGCCTGCCTTTATTGCGATGTCACATGGTTTAGTTTTTTTTTTTGGGGGGGGCATGGCCCCATTTGCCCCCCCCCCCCTGGATCCGCCCTTGTGAGTAATCAGGAGGTCGAGGGTTCGATTCCCACCGGTGTAAGTTAGCTAGTCATTTCTTTCCTCGCAAGCTCAAAGACTACTCTGAATAACAGTGCTGACAAAATTACTTCGTATATCGGCGAGGGGCAAAACACGATACAGTGACCATTAGAAATGGTACGCGTACGCGTGTGTGTCTCGGAAAAAGTACGTTGCTTGTTAAGCCACCGTTTTGCGTGATTATTTCAACTGGCATACTATGGGCAATGTGTATTTCACATCACATATTAAGATGTATATTACCTATATACAGGTTTTGTGAAATAACCATGCAAAATGGTGACATAGCCAGCTAGTTTTATTTTTCAGTTTTCCATTTCGCACACTGAATCTCGGACAGCACTGAGTATAGATAGAGTGTTTGTATTCATTCAGATTGGTGAAGGGCCAGTGGCGTAGCCAGGAATTTTTCAGTGGGGGTCGCTGGGGGGGGGGCGGGCTGGAACATTTCATGGGGGGGGGCGTCATGTAGGGGCGTCAATCGCTTCTCAAAAAGTGGGGGGGGGGAAACACATACCTTGATCAGAACTGATGCGATCGCGAAGCGCGAATCCCTTTACAGCGTGGGGGTTCGGGGCCCGCTTAAAAATTGGATTCCAGATGTTTTGTGGTGTGATCTGAAGCAATTTCTTACCACTTTCCTACATGCTTTAACTAATATTTTCTTAGCAAAAGATAATTATTTGAACATCGTTTTCGAGGTTGGAGCCATTGAATCAGCTATCGGTATTCTGAGCTATAGGCGTGGGGTTCGGGGCCCGCTTAAGGGCCCCGAAAAAAATTGGATTCTCGATGCTCTGTGGTGTGATCTGAGGCAATTTCTTACCACTTTAACCAATAATTATCTTAGCACAAAAGATAATAATTTAAACATAATTTTCGAGGCTTTCTCAGCTAAAGGCATAAGAAAATTTTTTGAACATTGTTTTCGAGGTTGGAGTCATTGAATCAGCTACCAGGATTCTGAGCTTTAGGCGTGGGGTTCGGGGCCCGCTTAAGGGCCCCGAAAAAATGTTGATTCTAAATGCTCTGTGGTGCTATCTGAGGCAATTTCTGACCACTTTAACCAATATTTTCTAAGCAAAAGATACATTGTAGTACATAATATGGCCCTGTAAATGAGACACGAGTTCAAAAATCTGGGGGGGGGGGGACATTTGATATTGTGTCCCCCACCCTTCAAAAAGTGTGGGGGGGGACCAGTCCCCTTTCCCCCCCAGGATTGACGCCCATGGTGTCATGTAGATCAATGATAATTTTTTTAGAAACTCAAAATCTCAGTGGGGGGGGGGGGGGGGGGGGGGCGGGGGGGGGGGGGGTGACAAGGTTTCATGGGGGGGGGGCGGTCGCCCCCCCCCCCCCGGTGGCTACGCCACTGTGAAGGGCAAAATCAAACTTTCATATGTTTGTTTGTATGCGTCTGTTTGGTCATGTTTAGTGATAATTGATAGTAGTGGTGATGATGAATGGTCATCCTTGGGGTACCGTGTCCGTGGGTTACGCTGGACGCCCGAGTCAGATGCACAGAATTTATTTATTTATTTATTTTTTTTAGAACAGCAGTCTTGTAACAACTTCAGAATAAGTCCCCGAGTGTCACTGACCGTCTTTAAGCAGGGAATAGAAAAGCTTTAGAAATTGTAAAGCTGGGCGTGCATATCATTTCATACATCTAGAGGCATTTTCATCTGCAAAATTTGTTTTTGAAGACTTTGGTCCACTTACAAATGAACTTTGAGTGTGTTTTATTTTCTTTATTTTATCCAAAAACTTGCTTTTTATATATATTTCGACGGCTACAACTCTCTAAACAAGGCTTTCATTTTGAGTTTCCTTGCGCACACAGATCCGCCCGAACAGTATTTTCAATTTTTGTTTCAATTTCAATAACATTGTTTTCCCCATTAAAAGCATATTAAAAGCATCTTAAGATCAATAGGGGCCAAGTAGTCATATTAAGATGGGGGAATTATTTTTATAAGGTCGAAGCTTATATCTGGGCATGCCTTTACTTCAGTGCACAACTTTAAAAAAAAATGCAAAGAATTTAAAGAAAAGCAAACACACCAATAGACAAGTACAAATGAAACACAGACAATGACTAACGACGGACTGACAAAAAGGAGTCAAAGACAATTATTGATCCTAAACTTGGCCCCCAGGCTACCTTACGAGAACAGATTGACTAGTCGCAATTGTTTTGTGCAGTAAATAATCCATAACTTATAAATGTGCATGTGCCATTTATTTTTCGGTCGATGTCTCATTCAAAAGTGAGCAACTTTTTATGTTGCTATAAAAGTAGCAATCAAAACGAAGAATAATATCTATTGTCGGTTTAAACATGTAACTCTGTAATAGAACGGACAGAAAAGCTTATTCTTCGGGTCTTTTTTAATTTTCAGACGTATTAACTTAAATATCCATCGATCCATGTGCAATGTTCGTTGTGGACTTCAGTTAATTAATTGCATAAATATTGCAGCTTTCTCTAGTAATTACTAACCATGTAATGAGAGCACTTTTGGCATGTCCTGCATCTCGGCTGTACAGACTGATATTCTTAGACTATGGCCGTGTTTCAACTTTACTTTCTCTTATACTGTCTAGTGTTCGGTTATGTAAACTTTTAATCATGGGCGTCGCAGGGGGAGGGTGGCGCTTGCCCCCCCCCCGGACAAGCCAAAAAAAGGAGGAAAAAAACAAGAAAAAGAAAAAGGGGCGCGAAGTCATATTGCTGTTAATTTAAAGGGGTGGGGGTAGGGCGGAATGTCCCTGCCCACCCTCGAAAAAAATGATATGCAGGAAAAGTATAGGGATTTTGGAAAAATGTGCTTTAGAAAAAATCTTTGCGACGACCATGCTGTTGCTTCCAATTTGTTTTCGAGAGGTGACGTTTTAATTTATGTCTGTATTAAATTCGTATGCACCATTGCAAAACATAGATTATCTTTTGTACGGATGTTGATTCCTTTATGTTCGAATTCTCCTTCCCTGCTCAAATAACATGCATTCTGTAAAATGGTTCAGTATTCATCAAAGGCAAGGAAAAGGCAGTGGTTAGTCAAACTGATGAATCCCTGTATCAGTCATTAGGGCAACAAGGCAAAAGGCACAGGTGAAGAGAGTCGGGCAGTGCTATGGAATAGGATTACCGTGTAATGGGCTTACTCTGGACGTTGGGTACAGCTGACTATCAATTTAATTTACATTTTGCACGCTCTGTGGCCAGCTTTACAAGGCTCGTATTGTGGCCAGCTTTACAAGGCTCGTATTGTCTTTTTTCATCAACGTGAAAACAAAATCGAGAGTGAAATAAATATTAGGCTTCAACTTTTTACGCTGTTCGCCTGTTGAGAATTACCAACAATATATTTTTTCAGCCGCAATCATACCGACCAAACTGAGACCTGTCAATCCGAGCGTACCGGAAGGAGGACAGATCAGACTGATCTGTACCGGCCTAACCCCGGACTGTGAATACAAGAGCTTTCTGTACAAAGCGGAGGGCAACAGCGTAATGGGAGTGCAAGCTAGCAATCCGACATCGTCCCACAGTTGCAGCTGCGATGCTGGTCGACGTTGCTCCTCAAGCACGATTTTCGTCATGACAGCGACTCCGCAGGCTGCCGGCACTTACGGGTGCGTGGTGCTTCCAAACGGTCAGCAGCAACCACCATCAGAGATTCGCCGCAGTGGCGAACAGGGTCATCGGACCCACGAGACGACGGTTACCGTATGCGAGGGTAACATGAACTTTACTTCACCAGTTTGGTTTACAATGCGTTATACCATAAGGATTTCACGATATTAAAAATTGAAATTAAGAATGGTCATGTTTTTGTCCCAGTACTGAATTGCTTGAGCTTTGATTCTGTTATCTTAAAAACAAAAACAAACCCAACTAAAACCCATTTGATTTACTATTGAAAAAAAGTTTGAAAATGAGTTTCAACGAATTCAAGGACGATGATTTTTTTATTATTTTTTTCACAACGATTCTATAGCGATAACGAAAGAAGTGTTCGCAAGCAGTTGAGGTCATGGTCTCCGTCGTCCTCGGATATATTATGTCTTGCAGTGTGGACAAATGTAAACAGTTTAATTTTATATATGCAACAAGGCCACAAAAAAGTCTCCGGTTTCTGGTATGGAGCTTGCCCAAAAAGTGGTGCGGCGTATCTGATTTTTTTGCTTCTTATGTCGGCTGATGACTGCAAATAGTGCCCGACTAAACTTAGTGCAAATATATGGGAGTCCAGAAAGGCCACATAAAGCTTATTCTCGACCATAACCCAATCTAAAAACACGTTAAAATTGTGCAGCAGCAGGATTCCAGTCCAACCAGTGAGTTTGGCGGTTTTGAGACATCATCTTTCATTGAAAAAAACTTTTTCATTTTGCCGACTCGCATGGCTACGGCGACGCGCGCTCATACCAAAAACCGGAGACTTTTTTCGTTGGCCTAAGGGATATCATCGATATTTTTTTTGCCTTTATTGTGTCATTGCGGTGAAAGTGTTTAATAGAGACAATAACTTTGCAATACTCAGATAACCCGGTATGAAGTTCCACCATTGTGGCTAGGTTTGGTTTCCACAACGATTGTATATTGATAACAAAAGAAGTTTTCGCAAGCAGTTTGAGTCATGATTCCCGTTGTCCTCGGATATAATGTGTTGCAGTGTGCACAAATGTGAAACGTTTAATTTATATGCAATAAGCGAATGCATCGATATATTTTTCTTTTTGCATTTATTGTGTCATTGCGGTGACGTGAAAGTGTTTAATAGAGACAATAACTCTGCAATACTCAGATAACCCGGTATGAATTTCTACCATTTTGGCTAATTGTGAGGTTTGGTTTCGATACTCTTTCCCTTTTTCAAAACAGGACCAGATCTAAGTCTGCACGAACACAGCAACGGCAACTTCACCACCGTGACTGCCAGCGATAACTGCCACTTCGAGGGTGAGCTGAGCTGGCGGATCAACGGCCACCCCGTCCCCCTGGAGTCGGCGTCTCCCGCCCCGTCGGCCGAGCTCTCGCCGCCCGCCGCCGTTCACAGGGACAACGACCTGCTGGCAATCAGCAAATGCGACCGCAGGGCCACGAGGACCCCGTGCACCGTCACGGCTGAATTCACGTACATCTCGGCACGTCGCTTGAAAGTCGCCCACATGTCGACAGATATTCATGGTAAGAATCACGGTGAATCATAGGGGTGCACCCCTGCATTAAACTTCCCATAGACACTATAGTGCTAAATGCCCATACTTCAACATTCTTTTAAAAATACTCAGAACTCTCACAGGTATTTAAACTGCACAGAAAGATGATGATCAACACATCACCTTTCATTTTTTGGCGGGTTGACCATTGACTTTTCGAGATATTCTCACCCAAAGAAGACGCCCCCCATTTTCCCCAAAGCGGAAAAGTTGCCTTCTTGAAAAACGATTCCTCCACAACATGGCAAGATAAAGCGCCACTTTCGAGTCCAATTGCATCAGGCTCTCAGAACTCTCTAATGTAGACTATTTTGAGGGTATTATTTTTATTCATGAGCTCATGGGATGGGTTTTGGCCTTGTTACCGGTGTGCACCCATAGGCAGCCATGGACAGGTTCCGTTGGTCGCCATTGATTTGGGCCTCCGTGTGTTTACAGTGATCGCAGGGCCAGATTCGTCCATAACTTTCCCCACAGAGGACATCTAGCACACCATTCTGATATTGTTTTGGCTTCACAACAAAACTTCGTGCCATAAGTGCTGTGAATAGTTTGTGCAATGTTTTATTCCTATAATATATTTCAGATTTTACAGTCCCCGACCTTCACTTTTTTCAACTACAACCCTTGTGGGATATAAAACTGCCCAACAGTAACACCATGAATTTGTTTCATTTCATTTATGATTCTCTCAGTGTACTAAATATCACATCATTAAAACAAAATAGTCATTATATTAACATTTGGCGTGAATTATAATCCACTGCAGATTGCTGCGTTGACCTTCCATCAACTGTGGTTCCCACTAAGCCTCTCCTGACACAGAGACCCCAGGGTAATTCTAGTTCTCATGCAATGATTGCTTTTCAAATTGAAAGAAAAAGAAAATGTTTGCCAAATGCCACTAACATACTTCTTCTGCTTGTCTACATGCGATTGTGATTTTATGGCGTTTTCCAAGCCTCGGCTTTTTCTTCTGACTTGGGCTTCAGGACTTGTGGAACTCCGAAACCAATATAGATCCATCTTTTATTTCTCTACTTGCATTTAACGATAAGGGTTTTAAACTGTTGAGAGCTAGAGGTGAGCCGAATTTGGAGGCGAGGCCGCGGTTTGGAAAACCTCTTTCATTGGCGTCACTGCCTGTTCTCATTTTAAGGCTCAGTTTCAGAAAATGGTTAGGTTAGCAAGTGTCGAAAGGGAACCAGTCAAAATATGTACACGCATGACTGTGTACATCACGTGTTATTTTGACTGGTAACCTGTTCCTGCTGAGCAAATATTCTCTGTGATTAGCTCCGTGAAGTAAGCCCCAGAGCTCTGTGAATCGACTGTGAATCGAAGGTGAATCGAGGGAAGGGAAGAACACCCTCTTAAAAGTCCCTATATTGACCCGGCATCTGCGGTCTATTTGACCTGACACTTTTCAGTGTCGAAACACCTGTTTTTCCGTGTTAAACTCCTTGGAAAGCAGTTTTTTAAACTGAAATGGACTACCCGCGCTAAAGATTTCAATTTAATAAAACATTTAAAAGAATAAAATGCTGACACTTTTCATTTACCGGGTAATTTCGACCGGCAATTCTTGACAAAAGTGTCATTCTGGCCAAGAAAAGTATGAGTTTTTGACAAAGAAAAGTGTTTGGTAAAAGAAAACCCTGGATTTGGTCAAATCGGACCAGTTCTTAGCCAAATCCCAAATCCCTCGTACTGCCGAACTGCTCAACTCCTTGTCAGAATCGTGCTTTCCCATTTCTTCTTATTTTTTCTTAGTTAAAGCAAAGTGTCAACCGCGACTTTCTTTCTCGTAATTGAATGTCAGTTTTTGTGAGGATAGCTACCACATCAAATGGCACCTACAGGGTTTGTGGTCGACGAACTTATTTTAATTAAAAACTTGGGATGTTAGGATGCATCGAATGGAGAACAGACTCCATGCACATAACAAAATAAAGAACGAGTCGGTTTAGAACTATATTTAGTTCTGAGTGCTCCTTGGAGATTTAATATCCGCTGGTTTGCCCGTCTGTTGGCCGGTAAGCATACATGCAATACGTGTATCATAGCATTCCTTTTTTTGAAGCAAAGCTCGAGCAAATCTTTTCTTTTCAAATTTTCCAAAATTATTTGAATTCAGCTTTCACAAAGCTTACAAAACAGACTTTTATCCCATACTTTCTTTGAAATTACTTTGTGGCGTATAAGCCCTACTCTAAAACCCCCAACTGAAACTACTCGACCATTGTATCTAACTATCATCACCCCTTCTTGGAATTGTACAGAACCTCTTACGAAAGTCTTGAAACTGATGGAGGAGCTTCTGCCCCTCCAGATTAGATTCTTCAAGAAATGGAGTCGAACCAGCCCCGACCGGCTTGCTCAAGCCATCGCAGGGGCGACCTTGGATGAGCAGGCCTAGTCGAACTTCAAGGGATAGCTTGTCTTCCCCCATTATATAGCTACATTTTGATTTTACGTATTTGATTTACATATTATGGAACACAACCGGTACGGCACGTGACCCTGGGCATGCGCACGAGTGCATTGTTACTTCTCCGTGTAAGCTAGATACCCATCCCGTACTCTGACCCCCTAAATGATAATTTTTCCCTAACGATTTTGTATGTTAGAGAAAAAACTCCTTTATCCGAGTCTGGGCGTCTGCGACCCTATAAAAAAAGGGCTTTCAGTTTGCGAGAAAAAAACCCCTAAAAACAACCAACCCGCTCTGCTAGAGCCGAGTTATTGTCTGGCATGGCATCCAATAATTGGAAGTTTTGGAAGAAACTTTAATTCAATAACTACACGTCCAATGTATCATTTAAAAGTAGATAACTTTATATTGCTAGGAAAACAGCCATTGGGATTTTTTTAGACGAAACTCGAAAAATATCAAGGGGTGTCATCGAAAATATCAAGAGGTGTCATCTTTAATAAAGCTCCGCGTGTTCACCCAGAGATTATTATAATCATGGCACCTGTTGTAGTGTAGCTGTTTCAATAGTGTATTGACAAGGAAATTAATTACATTTGATATAGTTTAAATTAACAGAATCTGTTGGAATAAAGAACTGAGTTATAGGAACACAATTGCATTAATTAATTTTATATGCTTATTAACAGTCCAGTGGGTAATACAACGTATATGCTAGTAGATTCAAACGCGTTTTATAACTTTTGTAATTTACTTCAATTCATTCCGGTAATTTGCTACATCGGAATATTAGCATTTTATAACAGTCTAGTGCTTTTATAACTTTGAAACTGTAAATTTTATTTAAAATGTGAACTATTGTGGAAATCGATTAAAAATTGAATATTTGGCATGCACTGAAAAAAGAATGGAAAAATTTGGGGGAAAATGAGCAATGTAAATTGAGAGATGAATTTATGCCCTCCTTTTGTAAGTTTTGGTTTTCGGTTTTTCCGAAGCGTGTCCGATTTGTTGACGGATCTAACTTCGAGCGAGTGGATTTTATCAATTAGGTATTGCATCAATCCCTTGTGTTTATTTTTGATGGTGGTAGCCAGGTTTCTGTTGGCCACCACTTCGTATTCGAGAGTCAAGTCCGAGATGGACTACATCGCCGACGTAACTGTACTGTTGACGACTTTATCGTGATCATTAAACTTTATCTCGTACGTCAGGTGTTGTTTTAAACCGTTGGGATAAAAAGGGTGATGCGCGGTCAGTATGTCGATGTCCAGCGGAATACAATATCTAAATGCGAGGGTAACCCATCCCTTGCTTTTCAATAAACCGGCGCCCACTTCCACCCCTTGGTTTATAGTTAGCTGGATGTGGGAATGATCGCTGATCAGCCTTTGACTAACGAGCTTCAAATTAACATCGAAAGCGAGGCTCTTAATGTCAAGCCATTTGGAGCTTATAAGGAGTTATTCTATTGGGGTATACCCGATGTTCCCCAATACCTATGCACCCAATACCTATGTTTCCCAAAATCCCTAGGGTTAGGGTTAGGGTTAGGGTTAGGGTTAGGGTTAGGGTTAGGGTAAGGGTTAAGGTGAGGGTGAGGGTGAGGGTTGGGGAACCTAGGTATTGGGCAACAGAGGTTTTGTGGAACAAAGGTATGCACCCATTCTATTTGAATACTCACGACAAAGGAGAGCATAGTAATTTGAGATTCGTCTACAGAGCTACCATCCACTGCTAGGACGTTTCAACCAGACAGTACCAATCATGAGCACAGTGACGGTGAAACTTTGGAGGCTTCCACACTTGTTGTTCTCCCTACCGACACTTCCTGTCATTGAACTTCAGTGTAATGTTTCGACGATGCTCCATATTTTGGAGCATGTACAATGAACTTTGTCCGTACCTGTCTAATGAAAACGCAGCCGTCATGCATGCGCTCAGTGATGATATTGACAGGTGTTGGTTCGGATGTACATTTTCCGCACGACCTCCTCCGCGTATTAATTTGACAGATTTATGTTAAAGTGATAATAAAACGGTTTGCATACAAAAGCAATCTTCGGGAGTAATTTTGTTAAAGTCAGTGGCAATGGAATCAGAAAAGGTCTGCTCGTGCCTATACAAATGGACACATCGAGCAGAATTGGTGGGTTTTTAAAATAATTGTACGTGTTAAGTTGTTTCCCTGTAATAAAACAAACCTGCTAATGATTAAACCAAACGAAACAAAACTGTTTCTACCAATATGTATTTTGTTTTTAAGGTTTGGAGAAGATATTTTTTAATCTCGGCAGATATTGAACGATATGAGCTAAAAAGATACATATATTTATTTAAAATCACTAGCCACCCCCGAAAAGAAAACCCTGAATGCCTCCCCGGCGGGGAATCGAACCCCGGTCTCCTGAGTGACAGTCAGAGATACTAACCACTATACTACCGAGGATTGGTGACAGTGAGTAATTAACTCAGCTTCTTTACCGTGGCAGACACTGAACGATACGAAATGACAAAAGAAAACCCTAAATGCCTCCCCGGCGGGGAATCGAACCCCGGTCTCCTGAGTGACAGTCAGAGATACTAACCACTAACTACTGAGGATTGGTGACAATGAGTAATCAACTCAGCTTCTTTACCGTGACAGACATTGAACCATACAAAATGACAAAAGAAACCCTAAATGCCTCCCCGGCGGGGGATCGAACCCTGGTCTCCTGAGTGACAGTCAGAGATACTAACCACTATACTACCGAGGATTGGCGACAATGAGTAATTAACTCAGCTTCTTTACCGTGGCAGACATTGAACCATACGAAATGACAAAAGAAACCCTAAATGCCTCCCCGGCGGGTAATCGAACCCCGGACTCCTGAGTGACAGTCAGAGATACTAACCACTATACTACCGAGGATTGGTGACAATGATGAATAATCTTCCCATCTTCATACCTTGACAGACAATGAAAGATAGGAGCTGACAAAAAACAACAACCCACACTTGTCTCATAGGCAGGGAATCGAATCCCGGTCACCGGAGATGCAGTCAAAGATATTAATCACTACACTACCGAGGAACGGTGCTAATGTACAAATTACAGCATTCTCTACTTGACAGCGCTGTCTGGTGGGGTCATGTTGTTTCTCATAAAAACTTGTATTCTCTTTCCTGATTAACACAATTAACGCAACAAGATTATTTTTAATTTGTTTAAATAACAAACAACAGCATTTCTGGAAGGTATGTCGACCGGGGGAGGGCTATTGCATATGTTCCTAACTCCATCCTTATCTAAATTTAGCTATTCAAATCCTGATTTAATTCAAATCCTAATCTAAGTCCATCTGTTCAAATCCTAATCAAAGTTCATCTATTCAAATCCTAATCTTAGTTCATCTGTTTAAATCCTAATATAGGTACATCTATTCAAATCCTAATCTAAGTTCATCTATTCAAATCCTATACTTTCAACTGTGCAATAATTTTCTCAGATATCAGTCAAGAAAGCCGGTCCGTGATAGCTGTTCTCCTGGGGTATATCAAGACAGCATAGAGCGTCGTAAGATGTTCAGGAGGTTGTACGTTCGTTTCTATTCCAGTCACTTCTCTGTCTCTTTGATAAAAACTAGATCATGTTTCCCATCGTGGTTTAGTTGACGAATTCGTCATTCATGAATCTTTATTTCCGTGTTGGCTGTTTAGGCTAATTTTAACCAGACAGCACCAATCATTATAGTGACTGTATTACCTTCAAGGTTCCCCCCACATGTTATTTCCACGAGACATTTCCTATCCATTAACGTCAGTTTAAACCTGTTCCGATGATGTTCCGTATTTTGGAGCGTGAGGTTAGAATACTTTGGCACTACCTGTAGTGAAAACGCAACGTCAAGCAGGCAAGGCGTGCATGGTGTTGCCAAGTGTTGCGGGTCCGGTGTGTGCGTTTTCCGTACGCCATTGTTTAAAAGTCCTGTAAGCAAAACACGAATATTGTCCGTTCTCTTCAAAAAATTCGATTTTCCCCGCCCCAATTTAATTGGATTTATTTTAACAAAAGCAAAACTCTTTGTCTACATCGAGGATTGTATCCTGAGGGTCTGTAGGCCTAGACTGTTTCCAAGTCATACGGGCAGGAGCAAACCTACACTGGAAGGCTTAAATTTTGGGGCCGCGAATCAATTGGTTTTGTAAAGTAGGAATTTTACATATCTGTCGATGCACCTCAATCAAAAGTGACAGTGATGTATCGAAGACAGTGAATGATACAGGCTGACAAAAGAAAAACCGAAAATGCCTCCCCGGCGGGGAATCGGACCCCGGTCTCCTGAGTGACAGTTAGAGATACTAACCACTATACTACCGAGGATTGGTGACAATGAGTAATTAACTCAGCTTCTTTACCGTGACAGACATTGAACCATACGAAATGACAAAAGAAAACCCTAAATGCCTCCCTGGCGGGGAATCGAACCCCGGTCTCCTGAGTGACAGTCAGAGATACTAACCACTATACTACCGAGGATTGGTGACAATGAGTAATTAACTCAGCTTCTTTACCATGACAGACATTGAACCATACAAAATGACAAAAGATACCCTAAATGCCTCCCCGGCGGGGAATCGAACCCTGGTCTCCTGAGTGACAGTCAGAGATACTAACCACTATACTACCGAGGATTGGTGACAATGAGTAATTAACTCAGCTTCTTTACCGTGACAGACATTGAACCATACGAAATGACAAAAGAAAACCCTAAATGCCTCCCCGGCGGGGAATCGAACCCCGGTCTCCTGAGTGACAGTCAGAGATACTAACCACTATACTACCGAGGATTGGTGACAATGAGTAATTAACTCAGCTTCTTTACCGTGACAGACATTAAACGATAAGAAATGACAAAAGAAAACCCTAAATGCCTCCCCGGCGGGGAATCGAACCCCGGTCTCCTGAGTGACAGTCAGAGATACTAACCACTATACTACCGAGGATTGGTGACAATTATGAATTAACTCAGCTTCTTTACCGTGGCAGACATTGAACCATACAAAATGACAAAAGAAAACCCTAAATGCCTCCCCGGCGGGGAATCGAACCCCGGTCTCCTGAGTGACAGTCAGAGATACTAACCACTTTACTACCGAGGATTGATGACAATGAGTAATTAACTCAGCTTCTTTACCGTGACAGACACTGAACCATACGAAATGACAAAAGTAAACCATAAATGCCTTCCGAGGAATGGTGACAATAACCAAATTGAATCTACTCATCTTTTCTACCCTGGCAGATACTGAACTATGAACTTAACGAAGTCTCTCCGGCAAGGAATCGAAGCCTGGTCTCCTGAGTGTCCTTCGGTTAGGCCAAAAAAAGAAGTCTCCGGTTTCTGGTATGGAGCTTGCCCAAAAAGTGGTGCGGCGACTCGGCTTTTTTTTTGTTACCTGTTTTATTTTGCTTCAAATGTCGGCTGATGACTGCAAATGGTGCCCGACTAAACTTAGTGCAAATATTATGGGAGACCAGAGAGGCCACATAAAGCTTATTCTCGATCATAACCCCATCTAAAAACACGGTAAAATTGTGCAGCAGCAGGATTCCAGTCAAACCAGTGAGTTTGGCGGTTTTGAGACATCATCTTTCATTGAAAAAAAAAAA